GAAGAGTTGTCTCATTGGCACTCATTCCACATCTTCTTATATATGGTCTGGCGCAAATATAAAATTTCAATCCAGGTATCTATGATGAGTTTAATTAGACTCAGATCGACGTCCAGTCTCTTATCGACGTCCGTTTCTCAAATCGACGTCCGAATCTAACGTCACATTCTCAAATCTCGACGTCTAATGTAACGTAATGAATCACAAAAACGACGTCCGATTGATGACGAAACTCTCATCGCGATGTCTAATTTCATGCAATTATTAATTTTCTAAATGATGAAATAATTCTTTCATGCCATGCTTTATGCTCATTTTAACATGGGTAGGCATTATATTTGTCAATATCGTTATACCGAGCGTAGGCAAGGTGTAAAATGTTGACAAATATAATGCCTACCCATGTTAAAATTGGCATAGAACATGGCACGATAGAACTTTTTCGATGCTAATAGAAAAGATTAGAACTGTTGTACATCGAAGCGGACCTACAATAGGCGTTCATAAGGCATCCATTTTGATTTGATAAAGCCAAAACTTTATAGAAAATCAACCGTTTAACGATAAGAAAATGAACAGATACGTGTAAACTTAGATTAAATTTAGAATAATTTAATTAAATTTACTTGCTAGCAACACGAATACAAATGTCTATTTTGATTTCCGGCGTTGGTCAACACACGACTGACGTTACAATTTCAATTGTGATGTCAATCACGTGCAGCCCATGTTTTATTGTAATTAGAACATGGCTTTGTTTCCAAAGCGAAAGAAGAACGTCATATTAGAATTGATCTTTGTTGATATTATCTGTCTCGTTTCGTAAAAGACAAAGATAATCGAAATATATCTAGAGGACAGTATACAGACTCAAACAATAGAAACAATCAAAACGTATAGCCAATTGTTGAATTAAAGAGAATTATTTTTTGGACTTATCTTTTTCAAAAACTTTCTGAGTTTTAGGTTCAACCCACACTTTAATAAAGTTGTGATTTCATAAAAGTACATAAAACGGACGTCGATTAGAGAAGCCAAAAATTGGACGTCGATTTGAGAACAACAAAAAAAGACGTCGATTAAAGAAGCATAAATTTGGCCGTCGATTTGGAATGTTATTTTATTGTGACGTCAGATTTGGACGTCGATTTGAGGAACGGACGTCGATCTGAGTCTTACATATATGTAGCGAAAGATTCTCTTAGATAAGTAGCCCGCATTCTGTACATTGTTGCAGGTTACCAGAACTGAAACAGATAAACCTGCCACAAGGAGTTTTCATATATTGGACACAAGTTCACTCTAAGTGAATAAAAAGATAAAAAAATCGTATGTGCACCAATTGAACCATTACTTTAAAGTACAACTTTAGAAGAATCAAAATTATTTTCGCCATCTTACAAAATTTGTAATAAGGTCACACTAGTTATCTTCCTTAAATGTAATAAATAACACCACTGCTACTGATACAGAAATGTAAATAGCCTGATCGCTGGTTCTTTTCTGTTTGTATAATATCACGTTGATATTGCGACATTTTTCCGATTCGGGCAATACTGATTAAAAAAATATCTTCAAAAAAACAAAGGGCGAACTAAATCATGTAAATTGATTTCAGTATATCATAAATAAGTAAACGCATGACATTACGAAGAATCATCATCTTATTGCAATAGTTTTACATGAATTCGATTATTGAACGAACATGTCATTATGCAAAACTTAAAAAACTATTTTTGAATTAAATGGATCTTAAAGATGATTACTGATCTTTCTTCATTCATCCCAGCTCTTTTGTTCTACCAGGGGTGATCCGGCTAAGATAACCCTAGCTTCAGTTGCGTTGTTCTGCATGCTTTCCTTTGTTCTGTTACATTTTGGCGGGAATGTCAAATCCATAATAAAACTGAGAAATATTTTTACGGAAAAGACTAACTATCAAAGTTTGTGTAGAAAAAATCCAGTGTCTATGCTGGGAATCGAATTCTAGACCTTTAGAATATAGACCCACGAGTCAGACCCCTGCACCAGGACGACTGGATACAAACACTCTTTTAATTCAACATATATAAACATTGTGTTAGGGGCTCATAAAGAATATATACTATATAGTAATATATAAAGTATATTATAATGATTGCGTGGCGTTCTAAACTAGATATTATGAAGCGTAAATGGTTTTTTTTATCTAATCTAGAACAGCTGGGATGCAAAATAGTTATCCCATTCTTACACTGACACACCGCGTCCTCATGGGATAACTATTACAACCAGTATACCTGTTAAGCCTTAAGTATAATTGACAGGTTATATTTAGCTCTTTGTCGTTTGTATACGGTTGATGATTTTTAAAATATGTTTACCTCGCGTATCCCTTAAGACATGTTAATTGTCAATGTTAAGTTAATATTAGTTCAGTCAGATATCAGTGGTAATAAATGCATGTTTTACTTGGCCTTTAAACAGTTTTTTCTATAAAAGAAAAAAAAGTGAATGATCCCTATGAAACATAATGTTGTGTAATATTGCCATTTTTGATATTTAATTAAACCAAGCATGTACATCCCACATTTAATAATATTAAATTATTCTCAAATCACAAATTATTTAATGATTCCCACTACTTTGTTTCAAAATAACAAGCTTTTTTTTTAACAGACTGTTATACATTGATAAATACCAGAACTAAAAAACACAAACAAGAAAGGTCCGTGTCCTTGTTTTAGAGTAACAAGCTATTGACCATTTGGCAGGAAATAATTAGGTCTTTCCACTTTTCTGTGGAAAGACTTATTGATTTTGTTCTGATTATTATTTTTTTCTTCTTCCGCCACATTTTTTTCTTACGGTGTTTAGTGGTTTCGCAAGATGTCGCTTAGATTTTTTGCGTATAATATCGAACAGTTATTGCGCTTTTAAAACTGACCCTGTTTAACCGAACACTTTTTTTTGTAAGAGTTATCTCACCAAACACTGTTTTTCTTGTTTGTGCATCTCCTTCGCAACCGTTAAATATTACAACAAAATTATTTCACTAATTTGCTCGTTATATCCTCAGGATCTTAAGAATAATTTTGACGGAAGCGGTCCGGAGACATCATATGAGAGTTAACTCTTATTTCCCCTTCTGTATTTAAAATAAGTGAAATGTAATTGTAACTGGTAAACCATGAGTGATAGAGACCTAGGGTCTTTTGAATTGAGGTCCTAGGTCCACCAAAAAGAAAATGGAGTCAAGGTCAAAGGTCAAGGTCAGATTCTGAATTTTTTATTTTGGCTTAATATTGCTTCTTTTCAGAAACCGTATAAGATATCGACAAAATATTTCTACTTAACTGATATTTGCGACATGTCGTAACATACATATTTTGGTTAAAAGGGTGCGTTGACATTTGATCGGAGTTTCGTCTCCTCTAATACTCAAAATAAGCTGTATTGGGATAGAACAAGTTTCTCTTGCATAGTGGAGACTAAGGGTTATTTGATTGTAAGTCCTTGCTTTATGACCTTGAAATTTAGTTCAAGGTCAAAGGTAAAAATTGACGTTCTAGATTTTGACCTTTGCTGTAGTTCATATTTATACATGATAAAGCCTTGAAATCTTTTGCATTAGGTTAGTAGACATATGACCTTGAAAATGTCAACCAGAAGTGACCTTTTTTGAAACTGGAACTAGCAATTTATCTCCCTTATTTAAAGCAAAAGTATATCGAAACTATATATTTTTAGAATCAGAGTAAAGAGAGCTAATATTTGAAACCGGAAGTGACTCTGATTTAACCGGAAGTGGCTTTTTATCTCCCTTAATCAAGGAAAAAGGTGCCTCAAACATTGTTTTTTTCAAAATCAGTGTGTGATAAGCTATCATTTAAGCCCAGACATACTTTTTTATATCAAAATTTTCTTATCTTAAGTGAATTTGAGTGAAAAGACCTTCAATTGTTCTCTGAATGTAATTAGCTCTAGATTTTTTCATACATTGAACATTTGTACATTCTTATCTTTTAAAAACCATGAAAAAAACTAGGATTTTATAAAATTTTCAAATATGGTTTAAGGTGTCTGTAAAACTTAAGCCCCTTTCAGTAATATTTTAATAATCTTTTCAAGTAACATTTAAAATTTACAGCCTTCTATCCTAGTCACACCATTATGCACAACCTAAATATTGGTGTATTGTAGTTGTATTCTCGTGCATGAAATGTTCAATGGACCTAAGTTGACAACAATCAATCAATCGTGAAAAAAATTTGTATTATGTTAAAAATTTAACGGACCAATAAAGTTTTATTTTATCATGTATCTCATTTATTAATAGTCGCCTCTCTCTTAATTATTTATTATAGGATTAAACGACTTTTTAAAGGAATTTATTGGTGTATAATTCTTATATGATTTGCATATTAGGGAATACGTTTATATGACTTTTTTTTGTTTGTGAGTGAATTGCTCGAGTTTATACACCAATACATTCCTTTAAAAATGCGTTTAATCCTTGTAATTCTTTAAAATTGGAGATACGGAATTTGATTTCTCCACTCGTAACCTCTATCGCACGTAAATTATAAATTTGTGGAATTGACCTGGCGCATGAATATATTTTTAAGTTAACGCAAAAAAAAAAAAAAAAATGCTCCATAAAATTTTCTATCGGGAAAAAATAGACTAAAAAAATATCTAATATTCTTTCAAATAAATGTTTTCTGTTTATTATTTGATTTGACGATGAACGGGAAGTAAAAATACATATTTTTAACGTCGAGCCGGTTTGTGTTATTATCGCCGCCATCTTGTTTGCATTGGTTACAACAAGTAGTTCTGTCAACGTCGACTATCGAAAAATAAACTAACGTCAAGATCCACTACCACCACCTATATTAACATAATCCCTAATATGAAAATCATATAAGACTTATGAATAAATAAACATCACATACATATGCAAACTGAACCTGAAACTGAAATTGCCTTAAGTTGTCATGCTTTCATTTTTCTTTCAGGTGGATGTATATAGTTGAAAGCGTCTCAGGTATATTGAAGTCTAGATTCGATTTAGCTAATCAACAAACGATCGTCAACTTTACATCTAAACCTGTTTATTGCATGGACATAGGTACGTGTTCTTTAGTTATTGTTGATGTATTTGTTCCTAAAATTGTCACAATTTAGTATTTTGCTCATTATACGATGCTGTATATTCATATATGATCATTCAAAATGTATATCTATCTGCATTATTATGGTAACACATGGGTAATGAAACTGTGTACCAACACTTGACATACAAGCCTTCTTATGTGGGAAAAACAAGCAAACAGGTGTGATGTTACACTATTGTTGTGATGTTACACTATTGTTTCAGATAAGGGCAAATGTTTGGTACCATTAAAACGTTTAAACCCGCTGCAATTGTTTGCACCTGTCCTAAGTCAGGATACTGTTCAGTAGTTGTCGTTTGTTGATAAGTGTTTCTCCTTTCTCGTTTTTTATATAGATTAGACCGTTGTTTTTTCCCGTTTGAATGGTTTTACACTAGTAATTTTTGGGGCCCTTTATAGCTTGCTGTTCAATGTGAGCCAAGGCTCCGTGTTGAAGACCGTACGTTGACTTATAATGGTTTACTTCTATAAATTTTGACTTGGATGGAGAGTTGTCTCATTGGCATTCATACCACATCTTCTTATATCTAAGGACATAAGAGGACAGTACAGATGTTTTTGATGAACAACTTTGCCATTGATGTTGCATTTGAATTGTGTAGGGAGATACCATTACGAGCAGTTAACTAATATGACCACACATAACCAAAATAATGTCTGAGGGTTTCTGAAAAAGAAATAACATATTTAATTAATTGGATTCTAAGGGTGCTGTCAACTTAACTGATAACACAAATCGCTTCTCAATTAGAACACACATTTTCAATAACTCATGGAACGTTATTTGTATATTAAGATATCTAGAATTATAAAACTGTATGTAGATCTGACGTTTATGCTCGAATTGAAAAGAAAAAAAAATGGAAAAACATCATATACAAGAAACTATCAATATTGCAGAAAATACACTGCGCAGAAAAACAATGTCTAAATTTTTATATTCGTACGTTATAAATACAGGTGTTTAGATATGATATAACATTGTCCAAAATGCGGCCCTAACAAATTTTTCATGCCAATTTGTACATGCGCAAGAGTATGATTCTTCATTACTATATTCATGATATTTAATGATCGTATGCACCAAAATTGTATTAATCACCGCATCAAGTAGGCAATAAAGCAACTTTACATGTTTTCACACGTTGAACATTAACCTATTTGGAGAATTTTTAGCGTATTACCTTTAATAGAGCAGAAGAAGTGTTGAGCTCATTAACAGGAAAACATTAAGAGTCTTTAGTCCTCAGTCTAAATCATTGGCTTGATGTACATATCATGTATAATGAAGGTCTGGCAAATGCGGTCATAATCTTTTTCATGGGATTTCTTTTTGAGCATTTGAGAACTTTGTAAAGTTGAGTAGAATAAACTTAAGAAATATGATTAAATCAGTAATATAATCTTAGCAAATAACGTATTAACAACGTCAAAACAGATTGCTTGTTAGTGTACTTTTTTTTAATAGAAAATACATAAGAACTATAATTAAGATAATAATGCATGGTCAGCAAGAAGAGTACAAGTGAACTGAACATTTGACAGTTTGAAGACAATTTCCTTTTAAGCTATTAATGGAGAGTTCATTTACGGTAGACATTATAGTTTATTGAAATGTGCAGTTTCTTGAAAAAAATATGTTTCTTTGTTTGACCGGGTACTTGAGACAATTAATTAAACGCGTCGTTTTTTTTTTATATGAGCGATCAAGATTTCATACTATGGAATTAGAAATACAAGAAACGGAGATGTATGTTTGTTGTTGTCAGAATCTATTTGTCTATGAGGCCATGATTTTCTGGTTCTGACACAGATGTTAGGTTCATAGACCGTACTTCAGTGATAAATACAGACTAATACACAACTTAACCAGTTCATGTGTCACTGTTTAGTTCACATGTATGGAACAGGGAAGGAGCTTGATGATTATACTCAGATTCTATTTAACTAAATTCTTAAACATGTTAAAAAAATCAGGCTCTGTACCTATCTGAGCGCTTATATGGAAGATATAAGATATTCAGATCTGTTTTTTTGAATATGTTTTAGTCACAGAAAACCATGTCAAATTTGTATACACTTGTAAATGAATTTTATTCTGGAGCGGTCATTTTGATCTTACCGTCATTTGAAAAGTCTGAACTATAAATTGTTAAGTCCTGTTAAGTCTTTCAGTCAAACTGCGGAAAAATCACAACTTTTCAGACAATTCTTTTGCACTCATTTCAGTACTTTTCAGAAATTTTAATACTGCTCAGTATTTTTTAAGACAATTCAGTACGTTGTTGATGTGAATAGGTAAATTACAACTACTAAACTGTTTGAACATAGGCTAAACAGATCTTGATTTACTGCGAGCAAATGGTCTGAACAGTACTGAATATACCGTAGTGGTTAAGTATGAAAGAACTGAAAGACTGAAAATTACATAATAATGTATTATTCAGTCTTTTTAGAGCCGTTCAGGTCAAAATGACCGTTTCGGATCAAAGTTGGTTTGCTAGTGATACGATCGGACATAATCAACGAGCATCGTATATTACTGATTTGGAGATATTCCCTAAACGTCACTTGTCAGACTTTCTGCAGTGCTTTGGTCTTGGTGTTCAAAAACTTTGTTTTTACGGCTAAGTATATTCCTGGTACTTAACAATTGCAATACTGATCAGATGTTTTTACTAACAAGTGTAGAAATTGAAGAAAACGAAATGAAAGCATTTTTAAACATTTCCTTGTACGTGACTTTGATATGTTCGCTTCTAAGTTCATCTGAGTTTTTCAACCGTGAAGTTTAAACCATGTTTTTTTTTATAACCACAATACTCTCATATGTCATTGATATAAAAATGAATTATAATTATCCCCCATTTGTTTGCAAATATTGCAGATACTGATGAACAAAGACTGTATTGGATTGGTCGCAATGGTGACATCAAATCAACTAAGGACGATGGTTCTGATGTTAAAACAATCCTATCAACAAATAATATAGGCGAACACTATGCTATCGCTGTCTTTGGTAGTTACATATACTATTCGTATCTCACTCAGCTGTTAATGGTATCTAAAACACCATTATCCATGCCGACTGTTCTGTATACAGATACAAGCTGGATTGACTGCATATTTGTGTTTAATCAGTCAAGTAAGTAAACAGTAAAATTAAAAATTGAAATGGGGAATGTGTCAAAGAGACAACAATCCGACCAAGAGCAGAAAACAGCCCAAGGCCACAAATGGGTCTTCAACACAGCAAGAAAATCCCGCACCCGAAGGCGGGCTTCAACTGGACAATAAACAAAAATGTGCACTAGTTCAGTAAAAAAAAACAACTCCGAAACATATAAATGAACTAAAATAAATAAAAAAAAACAAAAAACAAAACATATAAGACCAACAAAGGCCAGAGGCTCCTGACTTGGGACAGGCGCAAAAAAATGCAGCGGGATTAAACATGTTCTGTGAGATATCAATCCTCCCCCTTTACCTCTAGCCAATGTAGAATAACCAAACACACAGCAATACGCACAGTAAAACTCAGTTTAAAAAAAGTCCGAGTCCGATGTCAGAATAGGTAACAGAAGACACTAAAATGGCAATGATACATGAATTAACAAAGGACTACTAGCATTTATTGACATGCCAGCTCCAGATCTCAATTAAGCTGATTGACAAATTGTGTATTCATAACATGAAAACGAAGCACAGTTCCTCCCGTTAGGGGTTTAGTATCATACCATCATAAAGTAAGTAAACAGTCATTTATTACAACAATAAACATTTTAAGATGACGACAGCACATTTTCACTAATGTGTATAGTATTTACTATTACAAGCATGCAACCATGATTTGTCAACTACGACCAATGAACGATAATTTCAAAATACACAAAACACACTATGTGAAACACCATTCACGACAATTTGCGACAGGTTACTATTTTGTGACTGATTATTGAATTTTGCAGATACATAATGTTATGCAAATATTTGTAAATTATGAATTGCAGCAAATTGTATATACTGTCATCAGTATGTTTTTTGACTAATATAGACATAACGATAGTATTCGTTTTGAAGCATATCGTCCGATTCAAATCTATGCATACATTAGTTGTCATATTATTCGTACAGAGCATGCTTAGTAAATCATGAAGAAATGTACGATTTTTCATATTCAAATTGAATAAATGGCTATGAACGCAACTCAACAGTGTGCATTAATAAGATGTTTGAACGAATGCGTTCGTTTCGTTTGTTGCTGATAAATATATATATATATATATATATACTTCAATGTACATGGTTAAATAACACTAATTCGTGAAATAAAGATCATGTTGAATATATTTTATTGTATTAATTTTTATTTTCATATTTTTGAAGATTACGATTTCTGCGTGTCTTACATAAATGCTTATACTGTTTATTGTAAATTCCTTGTTGTTTGCTGTTTTTGCTATTGGTATATTTGTCACATATGTTAATATCTTTTATTGATATTGCTTATTTGCTTCTGTGTTTTTGTCATAACCTTGCATGCATGTTGTTGTTATGTTTTCGTCCTTTTCAAGTTTTATTTGTACATAGATAACTCTTACTACCATATACAACTATTTGTGTAGACACCTAATTGATGTCTACTTTGTTGATTGTTAATTTGATGTTAAGTAATGTTTTTATGTCAAATGTCCTTATGGTTGTTAATGACAAATATAGTTAAATTGAATATGTCTTTTATGATGATAATTGTTTACGCATACAACTTGGTTTTACATTATCAATATTATAAAATCTTCAATGATAATACTTATATTTTTTTAATGGAAGAACTAGACAAAATGTCATTGTTTTACATGCGGTAAGTATGATTTTATGATTTTATTGTTTTATATAATATGTCTGAAAACATGTTGGCAACTTTTTTACGATTACGGTTTTTTTAAATAGAATATTGAAGTCTTTTAAAATCAAACTAAAGCCGTTTACCTACAATTAGAAGAAAGTAGTTTCAGAAATATATGAATCATTTTTTAAAGTGATACAATATGCTAAAAAATGTACGAAACAGTGAAATACATTTGAGATTTAAGAATACCCTCAATATAGTCTTTTCATTTTGTTATGTCACACTTGAAACTAAAACTGTAGGAATAAGATGCATTGACTCTGGTCTTGCATTTGGGTGATCTGGAGAAGTTAAAATGCCATGTTTTAGTTGATGCCTGACTCAAAGTTTCTTTTGAAAAAAATATCTACACATTTTGCAACATTGCTCAATTGTTTATGCAAACAGAATGAGTCGTTAATGGTAATAGCACAAAATGTCTTTATTTTTATATCAGTTAAACCAATTCGTTGAAGAAAAAAACCAAGATCGAAATGGCATATAGATAAAAAAAACAAACAATTAAAAAATTTCAGAAAACACGACATAGAAAAGTAGATTGAGCGACGCGTATCAAACCAAAAACCCTGTATGAACGCCTGGGTTACGAATAGTTAATGAATTTGTGTTCAACTTTTTTTTTTATACAAACAAAAGTGGTAATAAGTTACATTCGATGATGTCACAATAGCAAAAGACGATGGAATGATATTACAAATAGATATTATCAGTGGCCATGAGATTTGCATATTTGTCAACCAAATCAGGATGTCGTCGTAAAACGTTCGAAGGTTGACTAGGACTTGATCATTGGGTTTATAGTTTCGTTGTCAGCAGCAACCCGTCATCAAGGAACTCTTTGTAGTAATCGAAGCTCTGGGATAACGTATCGACTTGAAGATAAATAATGGATATACGGACGCTGTTGGTATGCTACTACATTTACCTGGTATATTTAGTCTTTCAATACATGCGAAAAAATACAAAAGGGACGTTCAAACGCATAAAAGTAATCCTATAAATAACATATACTTTTTATGACGTTGCTGTATCTAATTATCTCTACATTACAGCCACCAACATCAGAGTGTAGGACATCACGATTCCGTGTTAGCAGGTTGGACCGTACTTATAACAATATTGTTAATTTGTTTTGTTTGCACATTTTTTGTGTTAAATACTATTGCGTTATTAAAGCGATGCATACTGTATGTACTGATGTTTATTAGTTACTACTGAACTATTTATAAGTTAACTCATCAATATAAAATGTCGACTGTCCGATTAACAATTATTTTATTTTAAATACTAGATAAATCCTGATAAAAATAATGATCGTTTTATTTACATGAGATATTTGTTTTCCTTCTATTGGCATGTTAACATAGTTATCTTAAAAATATACACATCGGAATTCAAAACGACAGTTTGTTTTATTCATAAAACAAAAATCTAGAAGATGAAATCAGAGAGAAGAAATTCCAGCTGTATAAATGACTAGTAGGCTTCATTGTTCTCGTTTGCTGAGGATTTAATATAACTTCCTTATTAGATCAACCTACAAGTTGATGTTCTTCTGATGTTCTAGTAAATAAACATGATGAGTAGTATGAAACATTTTGCATAGTTTATCATTTTTGTTGTTTCATGCTGGTTTTTTACTTATTCTAATTGTTTTGTAGATCATATAGAAATAACTCAAATTGTTTATAAAATCATCATGTTAGGGCCTCAGTACGGCGTCGCCTTATTGTCTTTTTTTATTTAATTCAGTAGTAAGTAGATCTTGCAATTTAACTGATCATAGTTTACCTATCTCAAATTGTCCAAAGAAAAGATAACTTCCATTTTACAAAAATGTTTTATATAGCTTTAAGAAACATTTCATGTTGGTGTCTGTTTCGTTGTTTGATATTTTTTTCGGTCATTTAGAATAGCATTCTATCTATGCATCCCTTAAGGAATACATCTCCCTCATGCAAAGCTCTGATTCCTTGCCTGGCTTTGGCTATACTTTTTGTCCTTTTTTTTTGGTTTATAGCTCTTCCACTTTTTAGTAAGCTTTGGATTTTCAAATATTTTGGCCTCGAGCATCACCGAAAAGACATTGATTGTCGAAATGCGCATTTGGTGAAGAAAAAATGGTACTGTTCATGTTATTAAAAAGTTCTCAAAAAATCCATCACTAAACTTGGGTTCACATTGGCTATATGCTAAGGCCTTTCTGAATATTCCAATATTTCTCTCTCTAACATCACGAAAGTGTCAATAAATGCAAAAGCGTATCTGTTGTATTAAAGTTGATACATTGTACTGTTAAAGGTGTTATAAAAAGTTCGCATGCTTTAAGCCAAGAAAATGTAAAGTCATAATTATTTTAATAACAATTTGTCATTGTCGTTTTGATTACTTACAGGTCGCATCAAGAGAGTTGAGACATAATCCAATTTACAAATCAAACTCAAAATTCTTGATAACAAGAACAAATGAAGAAGGTAAACATAACATTAATACTTTGATGTAAATCTTGTCACCTATTTGTAGGATGATAACCTGACTGTAAAGTTTGATAATTTTCCGTTGCTGACATCTAAATTGAGACGTGGTCCGAACTTTGCCATATATTACAGAGTATGTAATCTTTATATACGGAAAACCGAGACCACAAGATAAAAAAACATTTCATTTTATTACAAAACTATTTGTACGAAATTTCAAAACATCGCGAATTGAATTGAAAATAGTTTTATGTCTTGCATGTTTTCCGGCATTTTATTCATGTATAGATATTCCACAATTGTAGTATATATGCTACACATGTCGTTTTGTAGGTACTGATATATATATATAAATATACATTAACAATTTGTTCGTGTACAAAACGTCATTAAAACCAGAAAAACCGTAAAATTTTCAATAACTTCACCTATTATGTTGATTTAATTGATAATGTATGTGCATACAATTTATAAATATATTTCATGTAAAAGTGCACTTGTGCATAATACGTATTCGTTCTAATTTTTTGGAAGACTATTCCCATTACTAGAAAGAAACTGTGCAAGTGTACATAAATATCTGTATCTTTTTTTTCAGGTCTGTTGGATTTTTCCGAACACTATATATAAAATATAACATTTTATTTATCAAATATACTTTATTACGTCAAGTGAAAAAAAGATTATAAAATGTAAAAATCAAGATTGATTAGAACAAGTACGTGAACAGAATACAGAAACAAACAACGCAATGCATCAAACGATAAAGTTTTCAAACTTATATGGAAAACCCTTTAATGTACACAGGAGAGTAACTAACGATGTCCAACTAGCTATCCAATGGTAAATGGAGCAATATCCATTCAAATGATATATACTTCAATATTGCAACAAGATACTTTTTGATCATTACTATGTATCACATTCATACTATTATTTCTAATATATATTTTCAGACAAAAAAGAATGATAAAATTTTGTAACATTATTTATTCTCCGAATCTGTTCATACCATGACATGAGTTATTCCGAAATACTTGAAAAAAGCAAATGGAAGACTTTCGTCACACTTAAGTTGTCTTTATTTGTTTTCCGATTATAAACTATTATACTCATAAATTGTGATTGTCCAATAGGGCCTTCTGTCTTTTTTTATAACAACGTTTTAATTATACCTTGCTCTTGTCTATGTTTGAACTATCAAATCAATTCTTTAAGTATTTAGAAAACATAAAACGTAAGTGTTTATATTTGTTGGAATACATATACCTTTTATTCAATTTTAGAGGGCAGGTCTATAATGATAACTAAGCGAATTAAATGCCAATAATTGAACAATTCACTGATCATGACATCATTTGAACTTTACTGATTACAAACGATGATGTCTTTAACTCAGGAAACAATGACATTTTATTAAATTGTACGTTAATTTCGTAAAATGAAACATATTTGTTTATATGATGCCAAAACCAATCAGTACTCTTCCAATTTCTACCCACCACTACGAAAATGTGATAAGATATGTTGCAACAGGTTATCTCTAAGAGAAAAAAATATCGTAAAACATAAATGCATTTAGCAAATATTAACATTTATAGGAGAAAAATGTTAGTAACAATGGATAACCGAAGAAATTTAAAAGACCTTTTGAAATTCGTTTATTCAAATTAACATCTTGCTAGTCAATCGCCTCCAGGATTAGAAGATCATTCTTCATGTCTTTTTTCAGATGTTGATGAACAAGATAGACTATTTTTTTTAAAAATATGAACACCACTTCGGCAAATAATCAAAAGCATCAAGATTTGGAATTGCATTCGAAGGAACAAAAAAGGACAATTTCCTAATCGTTTTAATCCTAAATTTAGTATGCATAGCATGATTAAACACAAAATCAATAACCAATTGCATTTAATGTAAGATGTTAGCATCAATACAGTCACATTGTATACCGTTTCAAGTATAGATGTTTACCTGTTTTTGTATACTGCGTTCATGTTTTCCTCTTTGCCTTTTGTTGTGTTTGTTATTGATTATGTTATAAATAATTTTTGTTTAAAGTCGTAAAATGCAAGTTTTGCTACACCCCAATCCCATGTTAAATACAATTTTATGTGCAGCAGAATATATGTGTATATATTGAATAAACAGTCAATATCAATCATACTAGGTAGTTATGTTTGTCGGCACGACGTCGTACACGCCAGCTAGAAAAACTTAATCATCCATTTATCTTACGTATAGCATAAAGGCATACGCCGTAAATGGGTTTATCTCACTTCATATACACGTCATATCATTAGTTAAAAGCGAATACATTTGAGACGTGTTTATTTAATATTAGGTCATCTGGGATTCGAGCTTCGCCTGCTCTCGGATCGCATGAAATATTGACCATGTAGATATCGTATTAGGTCACAAGCACACTGTGTAACTTATATTATTGTCAAATAACATCATCATACGATGTGCTTTGTCTTTTATTTTTATTTTACGTTTGCTCTATACATAGTAATAAGTAATAAAATAGAGCATGAAAACAGAGAATGATTCAAAGAGACAACAACTTTACGAAAGAAATGAACACAGCCAACATCAATTGGTTTTCAATGAAGGAGAAATTCTCGCAACCGGAGCATAAAGGACGCTGCATTAGTCGCCCGAAATATGCAAAAGAAATAAACATGATCAAATAAATAAAACAAACACACCACACTTACACTGCCTAGATATTCCTGAACTGAGAGGTTCACAACAATGCGGCGTGTTAACCACTTCCCTATACATCTATCCAATGTAGAATAAATGAACAGTAGCACTGTTAAAGAAATAAATTGGGATCTGTAACCAAAGAAACTAAACAAAATGAAAATGATTAACATACAAGTAACAAAGCTATACTAGACGTTACTGACATACAGTACTTTCAACTGTAGGCGTTACTGTTTGACGGGAACTTGACTGATCGGTGACGGATGTTTGACTGATGATTGACTGATCGATGAATGATCGGTGATCGATGACCCATAGAATCCGTCACATACGTCAAATAAACAATGGGAGAGTTACCGTGACAACGGTCAGCGATCGATCAGTAAATTAATTATATGCATGGATCGGACGGATACGTATATAATTAAAAGTCTTATGTCTTACGGTGCTTCTTATCACGAAATGGGTTATTTGGAAAACTAGAAACATCGCAAAATATCAAAAGAAAGGGATAAGTAAATCGATGATTTTCAATATGATAAAACATGAAATGCAATTTTTGTTCAAATCCCTTAAACCAAATACGAGCAATGAAGCCTTTTCTACTATGTGCGACACTTTTTGTATATAAATATATATTTTTGCGTAGTCAGGCCAGTGTAATGGCCTCTTCAATACTGAATAAATAATCATGCATCACTCTCAACTCCCTTTATATACTATGTATTTTCTATTGTGTATGTAAATTATGTATAATTATGTATATTATATACTTGTAACAAGAACAGGTTGTATCAACAGGTACATATTATAAGTAAATATTTACTTACCATATCTATGAAGTAAATCATTTTTGGGAAACAAAATCTTAAATCCAACTTTATGAAAGAACTACTGTAACACATTAATCTTCCTTTAAGTTAATTTTTAACGAGTAGCACGTGGCAAAAGATCACTCGACCAGAAATTTAAAGTAATAGAAATTAACATAACAAAAGAACGGAGTGAAGTGCTATAAAATTGAAACTGCCTAATAAATACAGGTAGCTCTTTTGATAGAAAAAAAACCCGATAGAATGAATACTTTATTCAAACGATTATATTTGGAGTGATATTAAAAATATATAGATAGATTATACTACATTTACATTTGTACAAAGATAAATGATATCTATAAAGATAGATGTTAATTATTAATAATGTTAAGTTTTTTTTACTCATTTGCTTTTTCCCCGACAAATGAGCATGTAAAAATCGGGGACCCCATTGTTGCTTCCCTGGGCAACATAGGGTTGATGTAACAGGTGATTATTAATAAAATATGTTTAAAATTTAAAAAAAAAAAAAGAAAAGTCTTATGTAAAACGAACTCCACAAAATGTACATGTGATGAACGCGGACCTCTACGAAGACACCTGTTTTCGCAATAACGCATAACAAAATATGTATGAAATACTTTTCATGCATTATCTGTATTTTTTTCATGATAGGTTCTCTTATTTTTCTGCCAAATAAATTACACAATCAGATAAGTGCAGAATAATGTCATATGTACCCTATTTAGCAATTATGCATTTTAATGTCATAAGATGATGAATATAAAAATAATATTACAATAAACATACTTTGGCTGTTATCTGCTCTTTGGTCGGGTTGTTGTCTCTGACATATTCCCCATTTCCATTCTCAATTTTATGAAAACTTAATTTGGACATTTTGACACGATGGTTGTTTCTGTGAATCTTTAAAAGCTATTTCAAAACTATCCCATCCTCGAATAGTATTGATCTAAAACATTATTTAATAACGTTTTATTGAAGTTTGCGTACCACACGAAATATTTTGACAAATGTTAACGATATTTTGCGTTTCGGTTTTGGTTGCAAGATTTTGTTAATAACGATAGACGGACATGATATCGTCAAATACGGGCTAAATACAACTAAAACACACATCTGAAGCAATCCAGAGTTAAACATTTAGATGAAATCATAAAACAATAAATGTAATAATTGCAGAAGCTTTGAAAGAGAATCAGTGTGAAGGAGTATACTTATGAAAAATCGTGACTTCGCTTCGAAAACTTAGTTGCCCATCCAGGTTTAGATTATTTAAATGACTTGCTGGTTTCCGGAAATTATTTCTGTAATTTCCGGCTTTGATTAAACAATCAGGTTTTCTTTTGGGAGTTGTTGTTGCTTATAACGTATGAGTCACCAGAAAATTCTTTGAAATGAAAGTACGAGAAATGTTTGTTACAAAAAAAAAAACGATGCATGAAAACCTCTTCCTCGGGTAAAATATTTCACGACTTTTCTTGTGAATAAAACAATCCGGCCGATCTAACCGTTAAGTTTTAAGTTGATCGACACGATTTTAAGCCGTCTGTGACGACCGGATGACCGCTTATTTCGAGCCTTAACGGCTGTGTGGACAATTCGTTCATACAGTGGATTTTATCACTGAAAGGGATAAGTCTAGGTAACCTTTTTTTCTTTCTAATGTAATCCATTGTCTAATTGTTAAACCACGATCAAGGTAAAGCTTCACCTAAGATAATGTATACATAAAAAAGATATAATACTTCATTAAAAAATGATTTTTGTAATGTAATACAGCAAAAATCAAGTAAATAATATCAGAACTATCATTCAAGTACAGGTAAACTGAGCAACTGTGTTTGTAACATTTATCAAGAACTAACAGTCAACCAGCAGAGATATCGACCAAGTAGTAGTTATATATAAATGCAACAGTAGTATATCGCTATTCGATAGTGATAATTCGATTAAATAAAAACAAATCCGGGTAACAAACTAACACCGAGAGAAACACATCAATTATAGGCGGCAAACAACGGAACAAAAGAAACAATGAACTACAACAAAAACAAACGAAAATGGCTTGGTAACGGCAT